ACTGTTAGCCAAATAGCGATACAATAAAGGACATGGCTTACGGGCAGCCTTGGGCACCCAGGTGCACATCATATTCATTACGATAGTAGCCGTAAAACAAATAACAGATATGAATCCGCAAAATATACGCCCGGGCGGTGTGGCCGACCTATGATGGGTGCAGTACAGTATGATCTCAAAGGCCGGGGTTGCGATGAAATAGATCACAAAAATCATGTACCGAAACGAGATGTTTATGTCCCGGGTTATTTTCTGAACGTAATCGTGTTCGCGTATAGCCATGGTCAGTTTGAACACGTTAATGATATTTTCATGTGTGACGCAAAATGCTATTTTCTCGTCAATTTCCAGATATTTTAACTTAAGATACTGTGCCCCACCGTAAAATAGGCTAAACCCTATCCATAATATACAGTATATCTGAAGTACAGTGAACTCCTGTAGTATTAGCCCTACGATTAAGCTAATTGCAGTCATATTGGGATAATCAATAACATAGGAGCACGTTGCGATGTAAATCATAAGGATCGAGGTCATTGTTACGGTCAATAATATTGCCTGGTTCATTATATATTTGGTAAATATGAGAAACCCTTTGACTAAACGTCTCATATTTGTCTCATTTAACGGGTATTTCATTGTATTATGTTTAATATAATCCGCGTATTTAAGTATATGCACGGTATGTGCCAGATCCTGGTACTGGACAATTGATCCAATTAGAAATATGACCAAGGATAGTATGCATTGTATTATGCTTGATACGACTGGATCTCCTATGGTGTAGGCGCCGTCACCCATTAGGTATTGTATGGAGCGCTACATTAAATTTCAATCAAATTATTATATTATAAATATTCAATACATTTATGCTTACTGTGGGATAAATTGCTGTCAGAAAATACCTAATACAATTTAATAAACAAATCAATCTGAGCATGGTGCTCAGTATAATCCTCGTTGGGCTCCTGTAGTCGGACAGGTAGTTGTCTAGAGACTCAGTAACTGAGAACATGGACAGTTTCATAGTGTTTTCAATTCTGGCATAACCTTCCGAAATATCCATAATTTGTTTAG